AGGATCCAGTGACCTCTGCCTTTTCAGGATTCAGCTGCTGGCTCCTCTCTCAGACTCCACTCACTGCAGGGACAATGTGCAACTCCAAGTGAAAACTCCACCACAAAACCTCCTCTGTGCTCCCACCCTAAATTCATAAATTCTGCTGCCCCTGCAGACAAGGGGGACAGGTCTTTCTGCACCATCCCCCTGGCCCCTCAGCCCTGCAGGTCCCCTGGTCCTTTTGGGGGTCCACAATCACTCAGGTCTGTGACCCAGACCATGGCACAGCTCAGCCCAGCACACTGTGGCTCCTTCCCTCTCCCACCCCAAACCCTTCCAATGCAGCAGCTTCCCCCACCGTGGAGACATTTCCTTCCCACTCAAGTCGACCTAACCTGCCTGTCAAGTGCTAAGATGGAACCTCCTTGATGTTTTCTCCCATTTTACCTGACAATTGCTGTCTTGGCCAGCAGCAGCTCAAATTCTGGACCTGCAGAGCTGAAAGCTGTGATCTGTGCAGGGGCTAATCCTGGGGATGAGAGCATGGGAGAGGAGGCAGATTCACCTGCAGGGGCTGGGATTGGAGCTCAGTGAGCCAAGCTGTGCTGCCACACAGGCACCAGCTCCCCAAAACAGCCTGAACCCGGACCTGGAGGAGCTTCTCTCCCATCCCATCACACTTTTTCTGTCACCTCCATGATCCCACACGCTGCAAACCTGGCTGCAGGCTCTGCTGGCCCCAGGGATGCTCTGAGCCCCCCCTCACATGCACCTCCCATGAACGACTGTGTTCTGCAAATTAACGATGGAGCACGGGCAATTAAAAGGGAAGAAAGCCAGGGGTAATGCATCATAAAAGGGGCTTTATTCTTTTATTTTGTCAATTGCAATTTAGATTTAATTATTTATGGTAATACTTCAGAGTGTGCTAGTAAGGGTTCTAATACGGTGATTTATAGAAGGAAGGAATTGTAAGTAATAGGTAATGTTCCCTGCCCTTAAATCTTTGCTGGGGTGGAGAAAGCCACGCACCAGCCTTCTGTGTATGCAAAGTGCCAATTAGCAAAGTGCTATTGTAAAACACAAAGGTTTAATCAATGAGAAAAATCCACTTGAAAACAGCGAGCGTGCTGATTCCAGTCACAAGAACGGCCACATTTCCATGCACTAAATGGCTTTTATGGGCAACTGAGGAGCCCTTGGAGCTGGCCCGTGGCTCCTTTGGGGGGGACAGAGGAGGGCAAGGGGACCCAAAAGCGGCTGTGCCCTGCAGGGAAGGGGCAGGAACAGCTCCTGGCAGCCACACGAGCCTGGGTGTGTGCACAGGGAGAGGCTTTGGGGGGTTTTGGGGATCATACAGAGGTTTTGAGGTGTTTTAGGGATCACACACAAGTTTTGGGGTGTTTTAGGGATCATACAGAGGGTTTGGGGTGTTTTAGGGATCACACACAGTGAGGTTTGGGGTGTTTTAGGGATTACACACAATGAGAGGTTTTGGGGTGTTTTAGGGAACACAGAGGGTTTGGGGTGTTTTAGGGATAATACAATGAAAGGTTTTGGGGTGTTTTAGGGATCACACACAGAGGTTTTGGGGTGTTTTAGGGATCACACAGTGAGAGGTTTTGGGGTGTTTTAGGGATTACACACAATGAGAAGTTTGGGGTGTTTCAGGGATTACACAGAGGTTTTGGGGTGTTTTAGGGATCACACACAATGAGAGGTTTTGAGGTGTTTTAGGGAACACACACAGCGAGATTTTGGGGTGTTTTAGGGATCACACACTGAGAGGTTTTGGGGGGTTTTAGGGATCACACACAGGTTTTGGGGTGTTTTAGGGATCACACACAGTGAGAGGTTTTGGGGTGCTCCCCACAGACCCTTTGTGGCTCTGGCTGGGTATGTGAACAGGGAACAGCAAGGCTTGGTGCTGTGCCCAGCTCCATCAGCAATTTGGGAACTATTCCTCTCCCCAGACTCATCTCCAGGCCTGGCCTCTCCCTGCTGCCTGCTTTCCTCTCAGCTCCAAGGGGCACATTTGGCTCTGCAGCTCCTGGGGAGGCTCCCCTGACTTCCTGCAGGGATGCCAATTCCCAAACAGCAGAATCCTTAAGAAATCCTTAAGCAGAGAAGAGTTTCCATTTAATGAACATCACTGAAAATAATAATGGAATTTGTAATTTCCAGTTCCATGGCTGCTCTTCGACCATATGGAAGAAACAAAGAAAATGTCCACATGCAATCAAAGAAAAAGAGAAAGAACATATCTGTGTCACACCTTTCAATTATTGTTCTCCTCAGATTCCCAAGGAGGAACAGCAGGCAGAAAGTAGTGTGGTGCTTTGGGTTTTTAATTTAAATGGCAGTTTCCTTTAAATAGAATGCTCCTGCCACAGAAAGATTTAAATCACTGACTGAGATCAATTAGCCTCAGAAACAAGGGAAGTATTTTAATGGTCCTTTGATTGCAGAGGCCACAGCTCCTCCAGAGCTGCCCTGGCAGAGGAGACAGGTCCCAGCTCAGCCCAGGCTCTGCTGCACTGGATCTGCTCCCTGCAAAGCTGGGAGGGTGATGCCACCCCAAAGGCAGAATCCCAGGGCTTTCCCACCCCCCAAAGGCAGAATCCCAGGGCTTTCCCACCCCCCAAGGCAGAATCCCAGGGCTTTCCCCTCTCCAGCCCCGGGGGCTGCAGGGCCTGGGGTGAATCAGGGCAGGAAATGGGGTCAGCCCTGGCGAGGTGGAAGCTGGCCAAGGGATTAGGGGAATGTGACAGAGCCCAGGGCCATCTGATGGGAGAGGACATTGCCAGAGCAGGGACAGCTCCTCACAGCCTCTGCAGCTGGCACAGACAAGGCTGGTTGCTGTTTGCCAGGCTCTGTGGGGAGCAGCTCGGGTGCCACTGGCCAAAATGGGATCTCCAAGGGCTCAGGAGCCCCTCCAAAGCCAGGAACCATCACTCAGTGCCCACTCACCCTCCCCAGCAGAGAGAACAGCCCCAGAGCAAGTCAGACAGCTGGTACCAGGGAGCAGCCCCAGGGCAGGGAGGTGCTGCCACGATCCACAGGTCAAGAGGAGACACAACACCTGGCCCAACATCTGCACAGCAAGCAGGTAAGAGCAGCAACCTGCAAAGTTCCTGCACAGACATCTGTGAGCAGCCAGAGGGAAAAAAAGCAAAAAACCCCTCAGAGTTCAGGATCCAAGGACACTGCAGAACTACAGGAGAGGGAAACTTGGCTGCAAGCAGCAAGGTGTCTGCAGAGCAGTGACAGATTCCAGCAGGGCTCAGGCCACACCACTGGGGCATTCTGTGTCTGAGCAGCACCAGCCCCTCCTGGGGGCACATCTCCCCAAAAAGGGCTCCGTGGCAGTCAGATCTCTGCTGGAATCTCTGAGCAAACCTCACCCCAAAGATGAGGGACAGACAAGGTGTTTGTTCCTTCCCAGGGAAATGAGAAGCAGAGGAGAACTGAGGTCACACAGCCAGGATTTGGGGAAGCCTCGATTGTGCCAGCACCGAGCACAGGCCTTGCTGTACACTCAGAATTCAAATGGACCCCAATTTCCCAGTCACTGGGGTGAATCAGGGCTCTGGTTACACACAGAAGCTGCAGAACCCCTGAACTCTCCATGCACGCCTGCAGAGCTGCAGTTTGCTTTGCAAACTGAGTGATTTTCCCCCTGTGTTGTTACAGAAAACCAGCGGCAAGAACAAGACCCTGACTCAGATTTCCACTGATTCCCCATCCTGACTCCACTGCACAAAGAGAATGGAGGCGCCCAGTGCCTGCTTTCAAAAGCCAACAAAGCCACCCTGAGCCCACAGAGCAGCACCCACCACCTCTGGGTGCTCACCAAGACCCTGCAAGAGCATCAGCTCCAACACCAGGGTAGGGCCCTGGATAAATCCTTGGGTAAAGGCTCGTGGCACTTCCCTGCCAGCCCTGCACTGCTGCTGCCACTCAGGACAGCTCAGGGTCTGTCCAAAGCTGTCTGTCTGTCTGTCTGGACACCAGTGGTACCATCTGAGGTGCAGACTGACCCACAGCCAACGTTTCACCCCAGCATGAACCTCCTGGAGCCCAGCTCACTTGCCAGGCTTATGAAACGAAAAAGAATAAAAGAAAACATTATCTTTGTGCACATGAGCGTTTCTCTCTGCAAAGAGGGATTAAGCATGGACCCAGCAAAACCCAGGAGAGAGGCAAGGGCAAACACATCCCCACTTGCCTGCTGCAGAGAGGACAAAAAGCCCCGTGCCAAAAACACCTCCCAGACAAAGGCTGGAATCCGTTCATTCCCCGCGGCCGAGTCACCACAATAAACCCCGATAACCAACGATTACAGGAGAGCTGTCAAGGGCTCTGCTGACCAGAGCAGCCCTCTCACCAGCTTCAAGCAGCTTTGCTGGGGAGGAAAAAAAAAAAAAAAACCTCATAATTCAATCAGCTTGGAAAAGTCTATTCCCCACTGATCCCAAGCGATCAGCCTTCATGTCGAAGGAACATTACATTCAAGTCGCTGAAGATTTTCACTTTTTTTTTCCCCCTTTTCATTTTTTAAAGCAGGAATTGAAAGGCAGCAAAGATAAAAACTGTGTTGAACTGGAGCTGGTTCACTCAGGGGAAGGAGAAACATAATTCTCTTTCTTGAAATGCTGTTTGGAGCCCCAGACAGTGACACGAACACGGCCACCAGTGTCTGACAGATCCTGAAAGGCAGCAGCAGGACAGAACAATATGGGTGAGCTGGGAGGAGATGGGGCTGGGAGAAGCTGGGAGCTCCCTCCCTTCCCTCCAGCTCTTTGGCAACCTTGGGGACAACCCAAAACTCAAAGCAGGCTGTGGGGACCCGGCTGCCATGGATCCATCCAAGGCAGGGCTGGGAACAAAGGGAAGGCACCGGGGGGAAGTTAAAGGTGTTGGAAAATGAAACACTCCATCAGGTCCTGAGGTTCACTTCTTCAGCAGTGAAAGGAGAAGAGTGAGGGAAGGAGCAGGGGCACAGCAGAGTCACTCACTTTCAGCAAGGCAGTCCATGAGCAGCACGGAGAGGACGTTCACGAGGGAGAGCAGCGAAGACATTCCAGGGCTGGCAAGGATCCTCATCCTCTGCAAAGGCCTTCGGCCCCAGCCGGGCTCAGCGGGAACTGCAGCGTCTCCCCAGCCTTGTCAGCACCTGTGGGGCACAAAGGGACAGCTCTGAGGGGCAGCTGGGTGGGCAGAGCCCGAGGGTGACATTGCGGGGACACCGGGCACCTGCACCAGGGTGGCACTGAGCACCTGCCCGGTGCCAGGGCAGGGCCACGGGGGAGCCCCAATCCATGGGGAGACCCCCAATCCATGGGGAGAGATCTAAACCATGGGGAGAGATCTAAACCATGGGGGAGACCCAATCCATGGGGAGACCCAATCCATGGGGAGAGCCCCAATCCATGGGGAGAGACTCAATCCATGGGGAGACCCCCCAATCCATGGGGACAGCTCAAATCCATGTGGACAACCCCAATCCATGGGGAGATCCCCAATCCACAGATCCATGGGGAGACCTCCAATCCATGGGTTAAGCCCAGCTCCATGGGTTAAGCCCAGCTCCACGATGCTGCTGCAGTTTCCCCACTCACAGCACACAGAGGAACTGAGCCACACAAATCTGGAGGAGAGAGAGAGAAAACACCTGGAGCAGGGGCTGCCATAGCTGATCCTGATGGGCCAGGCAAGCACAGCCTGCCCAGGAGCTGGGAGAGATTTTCTCCTGCCCAGTTCTGCCCTGCACGTGGCACAACGTGGCAGCAGGACAGAACCAGATCAGCAGGGCTGTGGCAGGGGAGATCCAGCTCAGCACCAGCTTGCTCCCCTCACCCTGCCAGCACATTTCCATGGAGACAAGTGCTGGCTCCAAACAGAGCTCCCTGCTTACAGCTTTATCCTGATCCCTGTGCAAAGCTGGAATGGCATTAAGGCAGCCCCCACCCAGCCCTGTGTGACAACATTGGCAAACCCTTCCTCAGCCACAGAGTGAGATTTGGCCCAGAAGGGCTGAAAATAGAGTGAAAGCTGCAGCCCCAGGCTCCTGGTAGGGTCACAGCTCGGAGCTTTCCCATCAGGCAGACACTGAGCTCAGGAGAAGGGGCCAGAGCTGTGCAAGGACGCTCTCAGATCTGACAGATTCCTTCCCGCTATCGTTACTCCAATTAGAAATCAAACCCAGGGTTTATCACCTTTTGGAGGAAAGCCAGGTAGGAGATATTGTACAATGATCAAAGGCTTTGAAAGGAGACTAAGGGGATAGTGAGGCTGTTTAAGCTTTCTGACACACATCAGGGTGGGAGGCCGTCGGGACAGGCAGTGTGAAAGGGGCATTTTAATCTTTTTCTGTCCCATTAACTCTCCAAGGCTGAACTGTGCAGAATTAAAAGGAAAGCCAGGATAAACAAGAAGTCCCCATATGTACTCAGCCCTAAAGAACAACTTTTCAGAGAGAAGCTTTGGACTTTCACTTTGAGGATTAAAAAGCCTCTGCTGTGTGCTCTGTGCTAGCCCAGATCCACCGTGCTCCAGCTCACGAGAAACCAGCATAAATACTGAAACAAAAAAAGGGGAAAAAAATCCGAATCCTGTCACTGGGAATCTCTTCAAATGTTTGCTCTAGACACACTCAGAGAAACACAGAGAGGCTCCAGCCAGCCCTAGTGTGGGGATCACAGGGTTCCAGGGCACAGAACAACGTGCTGGGGTTTCTATTGTTGCTGTCAGGGCCGAGCAGGGAGTGGGAACGTCGTGAATAGCTGTGATGGGAACTGTTAATTAAACTGGGGATGTGGCATCGGTGCCAGCACAGCAAATGGAGCCATGCTGCAGCTCCTGGCTCTCCCTTCCTCCTCCTTCAGTCCCCGTTCCCACCAGCAAGGCTGGCACTGGGGAGAGCAAGAATCCACCCAATTTTAGGTGCCTATATTAAAATAAAATCCAACAAGCCACGCTGGCTCAGCCACCATTTCAGAAACTCTTATTTTTCTACATCAGAGCAGTACTCCCACCCCTGCCAGTGCCAAAAATGCCACCAAACATCTCCTTGAGCCTGGTGTGCTCCCTAAACACAGCAACGATCTTGCACAGCTGAGAGCAGCCAGGAGCCTGCTCTGCTCCCTGCAGGAGCCCCCAGAGTCCCCCCAGGATGGGGCTGAAGGCAGGGAACCAAATGTCAGGGAAATGTTCCACCTCCTCCAGAGAGAGGAGCTTTTCATGCCATTTCCTGGGCCCTGATGGAGAAGGTCTGGAAAAGGGGATCCAGCAACAGCTCCAAGATGAGAGAAGGAGATGCCAGAGGGTGACACTTCTGCTCCAGTGCTAATGTGCTTCCCGAGCCCTTGACAGAGACAGAAAGTGCTGGCAGAGATATTAGGAGCTGTCAGCTCCAATCCAGCAGCTCATCCCTCACAGCAGGTACATCAGGGCTGTGCCCCCCACACCAAATCCACTGGGGATTTCAGGACAGCAGCATCTGCACCCACCTGGGCTGGGGAGCACAGGCTGGGCCAGGGTTTGCTCTGCTGGCAATAGGAACAAACTCATCCCTGCACAATTCCTGCCCTGCTGGATCCCAGGGGCCACACACCAGGGCTGAGATCCAGTGGGAATTGCTGTGATGAAAGCTCAGATCCCAAGGGCTCTGTCACCCATGCTCAGGGCACAGCTCACCTGGTCTGTGCTCTCTGGTGCAGGTTTGCTCACCCCTGCCTGTCTCTGAGCACCCAGCCAAGCCAACATAATGGCACTTTTCCTGTGCTGCTCCACAAACCTGCAAACCCTCACTCAATTCTCTGGCACAGGAACCCCTGCAACACAAGCAAACCACCTAATAGACCTCAATCCTTGCTAAAGAATGCAATTAAGTGAAGCCATGGCCCCCAGTGGGGTCAGATTTGTGCTAGATACGGTCACATTTCAGGAATAAGATTAATTCTTACAGTAAAAGGGCTCCTGTAAGACATTCATTCTTGTGTGCTGCCTAATCTCCAGCTCTAAGCAAGGCCATGTGTGCAGCTTGTAAGCACCGAGCACGGGGTCTTGGAGAGCATTATTAAAAATAATAAAACTGAGCAGTGTTTGCAAGGAGCAGCTTCCCAGGGCAGCTCCTGCAGCCAGGGACCCAGGGCAGAGAGGCACAGAGGGTGAAATCTCTCGAGCACCTGCATTTCTTAAGAGCTTAAATTCCCCTGGGAGTCAAAGGGACTTAACCTAAGCTGCTAAGATGCTTTTGAAGATTTTTTTTTTTCCCCCCCCAGCAACTCCCATTTCAGAGGGTGCTGGACACCTAACTCCCCTAAGCCACTTTGGGGATGGAGGGGATGCAGGAGGAGGAGGAGGAGGAGGAGGAGGAGGAGGAGGGGTTTGGCTGCCTTGGTGCTCGCTGATTCCAGAGGGAAATGCTGCTAAGAGCCAGAGTGTGCTCAGTGACAGACCCTGGGTGGGTCACAACTGGGCCAGGATTTTCACAGAAACACACAAAGCTTTGGGTTCAAGGGACATTTAAGATCATCTTGTGCCAAGCTGTCAGTGACAGGGACACCTTCCCTCAGAGCCTGTCCAGCATTGCCTTGAACTCCACAATCTCTCTGGACAACATTTTGCCATATGGTCCTGGTTCTTAGCCCCCATGGAGCTGGTAATTGAAACATTTGCTGTGCATTTGAAAAAAATCCAGGAGGGAGGAACCATGAATTCATTTCAGATTCATTACAATATGACAATTTGGAAAAAAAAATCAAAAAAGAAAAAAAAAAAAAGGCACTTGGGCCTATTTTTTGTTTCACCTGCCTGTGGAAAGGAGAAGGACGATTTTAAAGAAATTGTCTGCAAAAAAGTTCCACTCGGATCGAGGAGATGATTAAATATCTTCATTTTCGGCAGCTGCTGTGGGAGAATTGCTCCCATTAGACACATCAATGGAAGCAAACACCTTGCAGGCACAGGGCTGCACTGAGGGCTCTTCCTTCCAGCAGCACCAGCTCAGTTTGTGCTGTGTATTAACAGAGGTCACTGGGTCACTTCATTTCCTCCCAGCAACCTCTTTAAAGAGAGAAAGAAAAGCTTTTAGCACAACCACCAGCTCATTTGTCACCTCCCCTGGGGAGGGCAGAGATGAAATTTGAATTCACTACCCCACAATTGCAGCTTGCTCCTCTCCAAAGCCTGGCCTTGGCAAACCCAGCCTTGCCAGGGCTGGGACAGGGACCTGGCCCAGGGGAATGAGGAGATGCCAGCAGAGCCCAGGCCATGGAATTACAGGATGGTTTGGGCTGGAAAGGAGCTCAGAGATCTCCTCCTTCACCCTCCTCCAGGGTACCCAGGAGCACTCCCAGGGCTGGGGCAGCAAATCTCTAAAGCTGCCTGATCCTGCCCCAAAAAAAAAATGAGGTGATGGAACATTTCCCAAAGCTGCTGGGCACAGTTTCTCCTCTGGGCTGGACTGCAGCTCCCAAAGGCAGGCCAGGGGTTTGGCAAACACAACTGGAGCAGGCAGCAGAGATGTTCAGAATGGAGCATGGCTGTTTATCTATCACAGAGTTACTTAGATCTTAAAAAAAAATATTTACAAGAAAGACGCAGAGTATTATCTTCCATAGGGAAACAAACACAGATGGAGAAAAAAAAAAAAAAAAAAGAGCTTTGATCAGGACTGTCTCGGTCCTATTCGCTGCTTTTCATCCCCAGATCTCCAAGTGCTTTAATATGACAGAATTATCCCTTTTTACAATGTGGGGAACCAGAGGAAACTGCACGCTAAGACAGCCCGCTGTGTTTGCACACACGCACACACACACACACACACACACACAGAGCCTCTCTATCTTTTTTTTTTTTTTTATCCCCTGTGGCATTTCTGGTCCTTCTGTTTGTGTGAAGTGCCCAGCACAGTCCCCAAAGGGGCATTTTGGGGCACAGCCTTGTGGCTGCTCCCTGCCCGGGGAGGGGGGGGGAGGCGATGGCACAGCAAGGGTTAAGCCGTGGTCACTGCAGGACAAAGGGACAGGAGAGCTCCGGGCTGGGTTTGGATGGTCAGGAGGAATGAATTCCCTGTCCCGGCCCCGCAGTGACAGCTGTGACACTCAGGGATGTGTCAGGAGCGTCCGGCAGGTGCAGCCCAGCACGGGGGAGGAGGAGGAGGAGGAGGAG